TGCAGCTTTCACCCTGCTGTGCCTTAACACACAGTGTCACCCACGTCATGAGTTTTGCTTGTCCGCAGCTTGCGGTGCAGTTTCCCCCAAACCCCTGCACCTATCTCCTTGAAACCTGGTAGGTTTTGTGGCCTCACCGGGGGCTATCATCCCTGCAGTTTTCATCCTGCTGTGGCTTAATACACACATGTGACATGAGTTTTGCTTTCAAGAATTTAGGGTGCAGTTTCTCCCAAACCCCTGCACCTATCTCCTTGAAACGGGCTAGACTTCATGCCCTCAGCAGAGGTTACCACCCCTGCAAGTTTCATCTAAATCAGACAAAAAACAACAAAGTTATAGATATTTAATTGATTCCCCATTATACCCTATGGTCGAATCTCGGAATCAGCTCTGAAGCTTTGGAGCCGATTCGGCCAAATGGAAGTGGGAAACCAATTCAGAGCTCTGAATTGAATCGCTGGCATCCGAATCAGCGGAATCTGAACCCAAATTGAATAGTTCTCTATTCGCACAGGCCTAGTAATTAGCCTGCCCTCAGTACCATAGTATAATGGCTACATGAACCAGAACTGGTAGGTAGTAGTGCATACTTTGTCCAGTTCTGGGAGTCTGTGGTGCCCTAGATTTTGTTTCCTGAGAGTAGGTTGCAATACCTTCATCAAAATTCATTAAAAAAAATGGTTTATTATGAACTCACACAAATGCTATATAACATACCTAGGCGGCCTTTCTCTTCCCCTGTGTTACAGCTGCTTTGAGAAAGCAGTCTGTTGAGGTATCCTCCATATGTGCCTTAGCTGAGAAACATTTTTTACAATAGTTTGGAGCCAGCCAATCTTAGAAGCAGAGTGGTAGATCCCTGTATCCACTTTAATGGAGCCTCACTGAAATCAGTAGCAGCAAAAAAGCAGATCATAAATACATAGCTATCTGATGCAAAATCCATATATGACACCTGGAAACTTGGACTAATTATCTTAAGCTCAACCCACTTACTATCCACAAGAAAGTACAACAGAAGGTTTTGTAGAATATATTTCACTTACAGTCTCAGCCACAGTGATACAATTGGATCAATGCATATTTTATAGAATATTTTATAGGGCCAGGACTGCCCACTATAGTGCCAGAAGTTATAACTGAGTTATAATTGAGAGACACTCCCTTACTTAGAATACTACAGAAGTTGGGAACTGGGAGATTTTCCCTCAGTTAAGACAGTCAGTCAGTCAGAGCTAGATTAAGTGTCTGCAGAAATTATGTACTGCTCCAAAATAAACCACAGAGGTAGTTATAATACTGTGTATATGAAACTGGTCCAATCATCCTTCAACTATAGGATATTTGTCAAGCTGCTTTCCCTCTAGCAATGGGAGGACATCTTTTTTTCATACCAGAGAATCTTGAACCTTGTCCTTGCTTTGAGCCTTTTTAGTTGGACTGGCCAACTATGGATTGTTTTTGTTTGTTTAGTAGTTCATTTCTCCATTTCTCTTGTTTGGGAAAGAAACGTCAAACATTTTGTTACAAAGACTGAACTCTTATCTTATTGCCCTAAGCCCCTGGATCACCAATCTGTCTTTGGTTGACATGTTCTAGCTGGACACCCAGAACGCTATCTGGCAGAACGCTCATAAAAGTAATTAAAAAGGGAAAACTAGACGGTAATTCACAAAGGCTGGAGGCCAAAGGACCATCTTTCTACTGTGGCAGTGCCAGAGTTCTGGGGTTTGGATTCTCTGCTTGTAGGAAGGTGTTCTTGCAGAGGGTTAAGTCCACAGAAAGGAAGGTAAAGATTTTCCCAGAGGCTGGAAGGACTGGCCACCAAATATAAACAAAACCAAAGGGTTAATTTTTCTGAAGTCAGTGGCAAACAGTACTATACAGCAGTGAAAAAACAGTCACATCCACACTGATTTAGTCTAAGTGGGATGCGCTCCAGGTCATTCAACAGGACAAACAAAGGCTAGGAGACAGTAGGTCACAGAAATGAATTTTCATTTAGAAATTCTGTAGCCCATAGGGAAATCTCTGGTAGGCATCATTAGAATCCTCTTACTAGTCTCTATTTGTTCTTGCTGGCTTTGTTTGCTTTTACTGGAGTACCAGATATCCCAGGAATCAGGAGACCCAGATTCTTTGCCATTACCCATGGAGATCAATAGACCCATGATTTTGTTCCAAAGTCTAGTTGCCAACTGGAAGCAGATGAAAAACCCAAATTAGAATTCCTAATAGGGTCTACTATACAGAATGATGGCAGACCTTGCTTATTTTTTCTAATTTTCATAAATGTCCAGCAGCATATGTTTCCACAAAGAATTAACTTTTACAATCTCTAATCTGAATTTACTCCCACAGCTTATGTTAATGGTAATGTCAATCAGTGGGAAGAGGTATGTGTCTTTAGAGTTTTGTTATTTTCAGTGCTGCAATCACAAATTAGCAAAGTAAACTGATATGGAAATTACTAGCATCTCTTTGTAACAAGAAAAAATATACTATATATTATGGACAAGGAAGCGTACAAACAAGAGGGAACAAGATCTGCAGTAACTGTACACCTTCTTCAATTTGATGTCAGTTTAATTGGGTTTAAATTTTTGATGAGATGACAAGCATCAAAGGAAAGTCATTTTGATTTACCTCTGTAAGAAAGTTGCCAGATATAAAATGGTTTATAAAACACAGCTAAAAACTTAGCACACTGGTTGGAAGTTTAAAACCAAATTACTTCCTCTGGGTAAAGGACCTATGCTGAGAACGTAACTTTTTGCAAAATGTTTGAGTTACTGATATTTTGTCTCAGTTTTTGGGATGTTTTTGTACTCACTGTCCAGATCTTCTGCAGTTGTTCAAGAGCACCAGAAACTCCTGGAAACAAGGGCTGACCTTGCAACATTTCCACAAATATACAGCCAGCACTCCTACAAAAATGAAATATTAAAATGAACAGTATCTGTAATACATACTTGGGCAAAAAAAAGTCTATCATCTAATGTGTTGATTTGTGTGTAGAAATGAAGTCTAATAAAAAACTGGGATACAGTAGTAGGAAGTATTGTAGTTGTGGCTTCAGCACTTACCCAGGGGTAGATATTTTAAAATAAATTCAGAGGGGCTCGGTTGTGGCTCTGGGACATAGACCAGTCACATCATTCCAGAAGCAGGTCAGGAAGTGTTGTATCAGAGAGGGGTTTTTTTCAGAGGCAGTTAAATTCACTACTGCAAAACTCAGTATGACAATTATAAAGGTACAATTTTCCAAGAATCATTCAACTTATTTTATTTGAAGGTATACCATGTATTTTCTCTAACCTGACACTATCAGATAAAAGTATTGTAAAATGCCAGTTCTGATGTAGAGAAGCAGTATTTTCCTCTCAGTGCTATCTCTGACTAGGAAGATCTCCTACCCAATTAATTTTAGTGTAGGCTAAATTACAGTTGTTCTGTAACTTTGGGTATCTTTACACATGCTCCAGGGCTCTTGGGAGCCACTCTAATTCAAGTACACGCAGCATCTTGTATATTCAGCGTCCTGCACTTCAAAATGCAGTGGGGGCGCTTTAACTAAAGTTTGTTCAATGAATACATGTGATGCTGAGGCTCCTGGAATATGCTAATTAGGTCCAGTAGACAGGATTCATTAAGTCTACTCTGACACATGCTAATTAGCATGCATCAGAGCAGACATTGGGCACATGTATAGGTCCCCTTTATGAATAAGCAGAAGTATTGCTTCTGTTACAGATCATAGTGCAATGAAGTCCTCTATTGCTTTTCTATGTCTCTCATGTTTCCTTCTGAAGACAATATTTTCTAGCTATTTTTGTTTTTATCTGACACATTGGATTGTAACATAAAAGGATTTATGCTTGTAAAATTAAACTGATCCTTTATTAAGAGAACTGTTTACAGAGATGTTGCAACAGTAGTTTATATTTATGCCATGTACAGACACACTGACCTTGTGGTGCATTCTCCAAAGTCTTCCCTCCTGCAATCTGTGCTTCTCCTCATACAAGGTCCATGTGGGTTGCTATACTTTGTTCTTTCTGTAATGCTATCCACCTTCATTTCTGATATTTCATTTTTAGCTACCTTTACCAGTCACCTCAACTCTTTTTCCTCTCTCTATATATTAATTCTCAGTTTTGATCTGACCTGAGAAGAATCTTATGTGAACTTTCCTTCCCTTCCTCTACAGAAGCAGTTTTCCCCCTTCTAGATACCCATCTCTGGGGACAGAACTAGAAAAGTTCAGAAGCTCTCCCATTAGTACGCTAACTCCTTTACTTCCATCCATCAGATCACAAACTTGGCATCAGATGGCCCATCACTTTTTCCTAAAGCCAAACTATTTTTGTTTGAGTAAGAGTTCAGCCACTCTCCTACTCCTCCCATCCAAGATGCATCCCAATATTTTAGTTCCCTGTGACACTAACTTGGTCTGAATTATTTGGATGGTTCCCTTTGTACATATGGGGACAAAGATAGATTTGTGCCAATATTCAGGAATTCTTTTGTCTTGCCATGCAGCTTTAACTATTTGGCTGATCCATGCCTCTCACCTAAAGCTTTTACCATGTCTGTCATCACTGCATCAGGTCCCACTGTCTTGTCATTCTAGATTGTATCTCTAACCTCATCCTCTGTTATTTCAGACCCAGGTTCCACATTAGAATGACAGCTTGGCCAAAAGGGATTTTCATCAGTTACCAGATTTAAAATACTGTTCTTGCCTCTTGTTCATGTGGCCTTGATTTGCTTTAGCAGTCTCCCACAGACATCATCAAGGATCCTGGTTTTCCATTTACCATGGACAAACATGGTAAAACCTGGATTTTCCCATTTTCAGGAGAAAAACCTGGATGTTCTTATTTTCAGGAGAAAAACCCAGATGTTCTCCTTTAAATTAGAAAAATGGATTAAATGGTGGGTTTCCCTTTGCAGGCTGGCAGAATTCCAGCCTGCAAGGTGCTGGGGAAAGCTGGAGAAGGATGATCAGCAGAGGGTGCCGTGAACATGGCTGCCAAGCAACCTGGAGAGCAGCTCCTGCAGGTAAGTCTGGCAAGTGGGGGTGGGGGTGGGAATTGAGGCCACCATAGTGAGGGAGGGAAGGAAGGAGGGAGTTGGGCAGGGCTAGGGCTACTGCCCAGCTTGGGTGGTGCGTGGGGCTTGGGGTCTGGGGCTGGAATGCATGGCCACAGGGCCTGGGAGGAGAGCAGGACAGGGCCATGGGCAGCTTGTTCAGGAGGGCTGCAGGGTGGTGCTGGCTCCCCACTACTGTGTAAACTCCTGGGAGGGGCATTGGAGCCCAAGCCCTCAGAGCCAGCCCACACCCCGTCCCCTGACAGGCTCCACTCTGCATTAGTCTATTTTAATGCACATTAAAGCATTACTGAAAAACTGTGCTATTTAGTTAATGCACATTAAAATAGGCTAATGTGCATTAAATGTCACTTAAAAACTGGGCGTTTATACACATGCTCTGGGGGCATGTGTGTGTATGGGGAGGGGGTTAATTAGAATGGCTCCAAGAGCTGCTCTAATTAAAGCTCCCAGAGTATCTCATGTATCAGAGTCCCCATGCTTCAAAATGGTGGGGGGGTGCTTATCTAAAGCTTGTCGAATTAATTTTAGATAAAGTGTCCCTACCACTGTTTTGAAGTCTGGGGATGCTGGCGCATGAGACTCAGGAGGCTGCTGGAGTGCGGTAATTGACATGCTGCGGCAGACTGAATTAATTGAGTCTGCTCTAATGTGCTTGAATTACAATGCGTCAGAGCAGCCTCTCTGCTTGTGTATAGGCACCCCATGTTCTTTAGTTAATGTGCAGTAAGACAGACTAATGCGCATTTTCCTGGTACCCCACAATGGAGACAGAACATGTAATGCACATTAAGTAAAGCATGTTAATGGACGTGTAGATGTGCCCTGTAGGCCCTGTATAAGCTCAGGATACATATAAACTAGGACAGTTTCTCTTCTTTGCTTCAAGCTTGGCAGCACCCTTCCCTTCTTTGTATTCACTTTAATTTTTTTTACATGTATTTTTTTTTCCAGATTTGCACTTGCACTTGCATTTAATTGATCTACTAGCCTTCTTTTCTTACTTGGTTTTCACCATCTGCACCAATCATATATTTTCTTCTGCCTCCATCCACCTTCTTTTTAGGTGGTACAACCCCTTTCATGCCAGCACCAAGCCTGTTTCTAAATACTTATCCAATATTGTCATCACAGTTTCTCTATTGCATTCCCCCTTACCTTTCCATATTTTAATTTTGTTTCTTTTGATCTTTACTCCCTTTCAAGGAATGTCATCTTTGCTACAAGATGCTTGTGCACCAACAACGTATCAATGAGCTTGGTTTCCACAGCCAGTGTAACACGACAAGGTGGCTTATTCTCTTTTGGAACTGTATATTAGTTATAGTGATATAATCCACTGATTTTGTTGTGCTACTGTAATTATTTACAGTTCAATAAAGTTACTTCTGATTTACAGAAGGATGATGGGATAATCAATCCGATGTTTTTGGAGCAGAAGGGCTTGAGTTTCATCCTTAGTTTGTGTGTCTACATGAGATGCTACAGTGCAGTTGTTACTGCACATTTATTTAGTACTTGTATTAGCAAATACAAAATAAATGCACAACAACTGGAGTTACTGTGCAGTAGCGCTGGTGAACATCTTTTAGGTGATGCTACTGTGCAGTAGCCTTGTAATACTGTGCAGCAGTGTATTAGCACTTTTTGTGCTGTGACATGCTACTGTGCAGTATTTTTTGGCTATTGCATAGTCAGTGTCTCCTGTCGATGCATCCAGTTAGAACCCTTAAAATCTAATGGAAATGGATTTTAGATTTAATAGCAGTGCCATAGTAGGCGTGAGATACCTTAGGCCTATGCTGCACTATACAATTTTGCTGGCCGAACTTGAGTTAGGGCCTCCGATTCTTCCACAAAAACTCTGTGTTGATTCTCAAAGCCCCTCCGTGGTGGAAGAACTATCCGTTCTGCAGGCAGAGCTACACCACCTCTGCCAGGCAAAGCAATGCTTTTGTCACTCTCTAGAAGCTGGCAGAAGGCAAACACTGCCCTGCCTTCTGCCAGCTGCTCTGGGCCTTTTAGTAACTTGTGCCTTGCCGAGGTGCACTTCACACTCTGGCAGAACAACTGCTGAGTGAAGATGTGTGGAGCTGCTAGATCAGGAGTGGGCAAAATGGCAAATTTAGCTGGCAGCTGGACTCCATTTCCCAGCAGCCCCTGCCTCCATTTCCCAGCAGACCCTGCCTGCATCCCTGTGACCAGTTTCCATGGAGACCCCAGTAGTAGTAGTGCTGTGACAGCACAGGGCCAAGGTTTTCATGGAGACCAGCCCCAGCAGCATGGGCAGGGAGCTGCTTCAGGGCCCAGTCTCGGATCTTGCAGTGGTGACAACGTGGTTTGGAGCCACGGCAGAGCTGCAATCCACTGTCTGCACACCCCTGCCCAGGGCAGGTGGACAGCGGATTGCAGCTCTTCACCAGCTCCAAACCACGCTGTCTCTGCTGCAAGATCCCAGTCCTGGAGCAGCTCCCTACCCAGCTGTGCTCTGGGGCTGGTCTCCATGGAAACCCTGGCTGCCTGCTGTCATAGCCCTGCTGCTCCTGGGGGTCTCCATGGAAACCAGCCACAGACACATGGGCAGGGGCTGCTGGGAAATGGAGTCTATCACAGGTCCAGTCCAGCCTCTGGGCTGGTCTTTGCCTGCCCCTGACATGGATGTACACATGTGGTGTCTGAGTGGCAGCAGCTCCCTGGCTGCTGCAGATTCATGGATTCATAGATTGTAAGGCTGGAAGGGACCTTGGAAGATCATTGGGTCCAGCCCCCTGCACCAAGCAGGAAAGATAACTGGGGGTCAGATGACCCCAGC